CACTTTTTCTTATCCTTCCCCCATCTTACTGGGTGGGGAGTGGGGGGGGGGTGTTGCGACCACATGGTGTTGGTGGTCCTGACACCAAGACAAACAGCTATGAACAACCTACAGAAGCTGCTGCAGGAGGGATTCCACTTCGCGTGGTAACTCCCACCAACATGTAGTCTGGTGTCTACACCAACCAGTGCGCTCCCAGAGAGCCTTTATCCATATAAGCCCTTCGTCACTTGGGACCTTCCCAGCTCAGAGATTCTTTCTGCCACTTCTCCAGCTGGCAACATCGCAGCAGCAGACCAATAAATGCTTCTAAGCTGAGATTCCTGATCTACAAGAAAATTAACCCAGGCTTTAACAGGTCTTGGCTTTGGAAGATGTGAGATTCTGAGAAGCCCATCCATTTAGAAAGGTGCCAGAAAAGAGAGCTGTTGCTTGAAGTTCCGAAGGTGACTTTTTGTTTAGGGTCACACAAAGATCTGAGGGACGTCAGTGAGGCAGGACATTTATCCTTTGTATAAAAGCAGCCAGACCACAGGAATATTAGTGGGTTATTGTTGCTGCTTGTATCACTTGAATTGTATTTTTAAAATGACTGTCAAAATTGCATCAAACCTGGGCCACATACGCTTTATATGTTGGAAACAGCAGAATTTAAGTATTTAAGACATCAACTGTCCTATTTCAAGGAACATGCATGACATCCTTAGAAATACTGGGCACACAGATGAGCAAAATTTTGGATTCATGTTTATAGCACAAACCCTGAAGTAATTTGAATACAAATCCACTTTACATTAACACAGGAGATTTTATCCAGCTTCTTGAGTCAGAACTATTAAGATCAGTTAGCAAATTCACACATTGGAGAGTGAGGATAATTCAATGCTTTTTCACCATGGCTGTGTCCTGACAAGAAAAAGATGTTTTTAAATACTTAATTTTGGATACTTAAAACAAGCTTAGAACATCAGCTGCAACTTCCATACTAGCAACTCAGCTGAGATCTTGCACAATTCCCCCATGTGACGAAGTGGCACCCCAAGCTAACCTGAATCCCTTGTTAAAAAGGCCACATGACAGATACTGAAAAGGACTGTCATCTCTGGAACTGAGAGGTTTTAAGAACTGATTCATAAGAGGTGCTTGGGTTACTGAAAGACCATTAATAAAGGCCTAAACAGATCCAGACATTTATACTACTAAAATTATACATTCTAGAGCAAATAATATTTCACAGTCTTTATAAGCTTATTTTGCTGGTGATACAGCAGAACTGAATTTGCTTAATGCTTTCATCATTTCACAAGTTGTAACGTCCAAAAATAAAAGCAACATAGCTTAGTAAGCCACCTCAGAGAGGGGATACTTAATGCTATTCTCAAAGGTTGGTGCTCTAAGGACCGATGACAACCACAGAAGAGGCTGCTTTTTGTCACAGTGATACGTTTTACTTTTAAAAGTTAATCTAGACCAAATATTCAAGTTCATTCCTGTCAAACTGAACCAACTTACAAGCCGTATTTATTTTTATAATAAGCCTTCCATCCTTCCATTCTCCATGTTGCTAAAAATGTAGCAAGTTACCAACCTGTCTTAGCTCCTGTACTTCATCCTTTAATGCGTATACAGTGTCAACAAGGCTTCTAAAATGAAAAAAGATGATCTGTTACAATGGTTTTCAAAAAGACACATCTAAATTGCGTCTATTAGACAGAACTGCTAAATGAAATGCATTTAAAAAATGCCAAACCCACAGCTAACAGCCGATTTCAAACTTGTGTTAAAAAAAAGTCTCTCTTATACTGATTTATATTCAGTAAGGCAAGGACCTGTTACCAGCTTCTGTGACAGGATACACCTCTCAAGCTTTCTGTAACAGAACTGTATTTCATTTCCAACATACACCTTACCAAAAAAATAGAATGACAGCACACACTAACTAGAAAGACGACACCAATTTAATATTGAAATCCTACAGCATTTGGAAAAATTATTTGTGCGTGAAACATCCCACTTCTTGGCATGGAATAAATAAATTGCACAGCATATATGAAGAAACCAGGCTACAAGCATTTAAATGAAGGCCAACTGCACTTAAAGGACTAGCAGCATACTCCAAACAGCTCTGTTCCCTACTACAAATATACTGTACACACACTACTATACTGGGGGATGGGAGGAGGAA